TCATTAGCTATTTTTTTCCACATAATAATAGTTTCCTCATGCACAAAGAAAACCTTAAGATCTAATAACTTAATCTCAAAAATATTTTTGTTAATATTTTTAAATGCCCCTATTTAATCCTATAACATTTTTTTTATTCTTTTATTTTATGTCCCTTCATCTTAAAGTCTAAAACTAATAAACGATGTTGGGTACATAAACTTTCACTTAGAATAACTTTATAATCTTTACAATCTAAATGACCTATTTTTCTTATAAGAAAATCATCAATCGGATTTTTACTATATCCATTCTTATAAGTGATGAAATGTTCATCTCTTTTCTTAAATAAGATATTAGCAATTAAAAAATCATACAACAACAACAATATCAAGCCTTTATCCCACTATGTGGAGTCGGCTACATTAATCTTTTTTCTCTATTGTCTCCTATTAAAAGTCAAATTCATGTTTAAATCCAATAAAGAAAAATCATTTCTAATATTTTCTAACCAAGTTTTTTTATGTCTATTTCTACCTTTCTTAACATAAGTTAAATTTAATACCTCTACTTTCCTAACCGGGTCATCGGAAGGACGTCATTTTATGTGACCAAGCCATCTAAGGCGACTCTCTCTAATCTTATCTTCCACTGCGCTACTCCAACCTTTTCACATATATGCTCATTTTGTATCCTATCTCTACGGGTAAAGTCACTCATCCACATGAGCATCCTCATCTCTGCAATACTTAAATTAGTTTTTTTTTTTTAATGGCCAACATTCGACACCACAAAGCATTGCAGGTCTCACCACCATCTTATAGAATTTCTCCTTAAGTTTGAGGAGACTTTTCTATCACACAACAAGCATGATGCATTCCTCCACTTCAATCATCCAACTTGAATTCTGCTGATAATATCCCCTCTATTTCACTATTACTCTGAACAATAGATCCAAGATTCTAAAACATGTACTCTTATTAATGACTAAATCGCCCAAAGTCATAATCCCCTCACTAAGTCTATTAATACTAAAATTATACTCTATATATTCAGTTTTAGATCTACTCAAGCGAAAATCTTTAGATTCTAAGGTTAACTTCCATAATTCAAGTTTACCTTTAACTCCCTCTATAGTCTTATCAACAAGAATATCATCAGCAAAAAGCATACACCAAGGTACATCCTCTTGCAAATGTCTATTTAGAACATCCATAACTAAAGTAAAAAAAGATATGGGCTTAAGACTGATCATTGATGTAATCCAACCAAAATAGGAAAATACTTGGTCAAACCACCTTGTGTTTGAACATAAATAATAACTAATAAATCATGCATACATATCTTTAATGATTTGAATATAAGTGTTATTAACTCCTTTCTTTTCAAGAACTCTCCATTGCACTTCTTGGAACTTTATTATGTGCTTTCTATAACAACAAATAACAACATCAAGCTTTTGTCCAAATAAATGGGGTTGGATGAATCCTTTTTCTCCATCGTGTCCAGTTAAAAGTCAAATTCTCGTTTAAATCTAATAATGAAAGATTATTTCTAATATTTTTTTAACCAAGTCTTTTTTGGTCTACCTCTACCTTTCTTAACATAAGTCAAATATAATACCTCTAATTTCCTAACCGAGTCATCTGAAGGCCGCCGTTTTATGTTATCTAAATCAATAAATATCATATGTTGATCCTCTTTATTCTCTCTATATTTTTCCATCAAACCTCTCAATAAATATATGGCTTTCATAGTAGACTTACCTAGCATGAATCCAATTTGATTTTGAAAAATATTATTATCACATCGCAACCTACACTCCATTAACTCGCTCACATAATTTTAAAGTATGACATATTAACTTAATTCCTCTATAATTCACACAATCTTGTGCATCACCTTTATTCTTAAAAATATGAATAAACACACTCATTCTCCATTTATCTAGCATCTTTTTAGTCTTCAAAATAATATTAAAAAGTTTAGCAAACCAAGAAATTCCTTCATCTCCTAAGCATTTCCACATCTCTATTGGAATATCATCAGGTCCAATAGATTTTTCATATTTTATTATCTTTAAAGCCTCTCTAACTTCAGTTTTACTAATACGCCGATAAAAAATGAAATCTTTATTTTATTTAGGGTGATAAAGTCACTCAAGTCAATCATATTTTCACATTCTTTATTAAAAAATTTAGCAAAATATCTCATCCACCTTTGTTGAATATCATCTTCTAAGAAAAATACTTTTTGATCTTCATCCTTAATACACTTCACTTGAACTAAATCTTTACTACTCCTATCTCTTTGTTTGGCTAACTTATACATATATTTTTCTCCCTCCTTAGTATCTAATCTATTATATAAATGATTAAAAGCTAAGATCTTTATATCGTATATTGCTTTCTTAAATTTCATACGTGCCTCTTTATATCTTTCCCAATTATCAGAATTTTTTATATCTAAACCAATTTTTATAAATCTTCTTATTTTTTATCTTGTCTTGCACATTTAGAATCGACCAACAACTATTTTTACTATTAGAATATTTTTTTCTTTAATATTTCAAGCACATCTTTTAAAATATTATTAACATCACTAGCCACTTTTTGTCACATAACATTAGCATCCTCATGTACAGACAAAATTTTAAGATCTAAAATCTTACTCATAAAAATATTTTTGTTAATATTCTTTAAATGCCCCCATCTAATCCAAAATATCGTTTTACTTTATTTTAAATTTTTTCCCCTTTATCTTAAAGTTCAAAACTAATAATCAATGTTGAGTATATAAATTTTTACTTAGAATAATTTTACAATCTTTAGAATCTAAACGATCTAATTTTTTTATAAGAAAATAATTCATCTAAGTTTTACTATATCTATTTTTATAAGTGATAAGATTTTCATCTCTTTTCTTAAATAATATATTAGCAATTAAAAAATCATAAGCTAAAAAAAAATTAATATGATTTTACCACCTTCATTTGTCGTTCTAAACTCATGACCACCATGAATGTTTTAAAATTATATATCTCTCTACCAACATGTCCATTTAAATCTCCTCCAATAAAAACTTTTTCTTCAAGAGGTATCTTTTGTATTAATTCTTCTAAGTCATTCCAAAATTTTAATTTTAAACTCATATCCAAATCTACTTGAGAAACATAAGCACTTATAATATTAACAATCTTAACATCAACAACAATCATTAAAGCTATAATTTTATTTCCAATTCTATTAATTTTTATAGTATTATCCTCCAAACTCTTAATTATAATCACACATACTGACATATATCATTTCTAGTATGACTCGTACCCAAATATCATAGTTTAAATCATAAACTATCAATTTTCATAGTCTTCTCTCCAACCCATTTAGTTTTCCAAATGCACAGAATATTTATTTTCCTATGAATCATAATATCTATTAATACATATATTCCAAGTTCATATCCTAATTTTAATTTCATGGACTAGCTTCTTTGCCTATATACGTCTTTGATGTGGGAACCCTTACCTATTTAACACAACACCCGGGCGTCGATATAGCAGCCCTTTCACACTTGTCACTATATATGCCATACAGCGTGTTGCTTCCATGGGACGCCCTAATATTAACACAATTTTTTAAAGGATTCATGTCATGATTATTCGACAAATTTTATGCTAGCTGTCGACAACCTAACGCAGACCTCAACTTTTCTCATCCAGGACTTGGAACATGATAACGACAGTGTTATTACAAAATCATACGATAAAGATGAATCTAATATGGTCTTAAAACCTTCATTAGTCGCTCCAAACTAATTGTCACCATACATGTTTTTAAAATCATCTACCTCTCTACCAACTTGTCCATTTAAATCACCTCTAATAAATTTTTTTTCTTCAAGAGATATTTTTTGTATAAATTTTTCTGAGTAATTCCAAAATTTTAATTTTGAACCCAAATCCAAACCTACTTAAAGATCATAAGCACTTATATTATTAATAATCTAAGCATCAATAACAATATTTAAAACTATAATTCTATCTCCAATTCTATTATTTTTTATAATTTTATCCTTTAAACTCTTATCTTTAATCATACTTACATCATTTCTAGTACGACTATTAACATAATACCATAATTTGAATGCTAAACTACCAATCACCTTAGCTTTCTCTCTAACCAATTTAGTTTCCTGAATGCATAGAATATTTAATTTTATATTAATCATAATATCTATTAATTTCATTAATTTGTTTGTAAAGATACTTATATTCCAAGGTCTTATCCTAATTTTAGTTTCATGGACTAGCTTTTTTGCCCACATCCGTCCATGATGTGAGAACCCTTGCCTATTTAACATTGCACCCAGGCCTCGGTGCAGCAGCCCTTGCACACTTGTGATTGTATTCAAGTCATACAGCTCGTTATCTCCAGGGAACGTCCTAACATTAACACAATGTATTAAAGGATTAATGTCATGATTATTCGGCATGTTTACGCTCGTTGTCGACTACCGAACGCAACCCTCCACTTTTCTCACCATAACTTGGGACCTGACAACAGCAGTGTTTTCACATACGCAAGCTTTGAACCCAAGACCTCTTAGTTGGTAGTCAAAACTCTCAACCAACAAATAAAGGTGGCTGCGATTCAAATACATAACATAGATGAGGGAAAAATCAAATCCAACCTATGTAAATCAGAAACAAATCAAATTATAAATTTGAAATCAGGACAGATGAATTAATGCTTAATATTTTTTTAAGTTTAGTCTTATTTGATAATACTTATTATTTAATTCTTTGAATGGAATCCTACGCTAATGGGTTTTATTGATTGTCATGTGGCTGAGAAAAAATATGTTCAAATTATAAAATATTTCTGGCGTTATTAATTAAGTCTATCTTATTCAGTCCCCCTCCCCTTCTTCCACTTCAGTCAATGCTTAGAATTAAGAAAGAAAATCAATGACAATATATGAACTCAACAAGTACGTTTCATGGAAGAATTCATAAAAAAACTGGTCAGCAGGGAACCAATCTCAGTTTTAATCATCAGAGCTAAGCGCTTCTACTAAAGGCAACTTGTTCACATGCCCAAAAAAGCACTCTATGCAAAAGCTACCAAGAAGGTGCTTCCACATAAGCACAAGAGAAAAGCTTGCAACAAATGGCCTAAAGGAGCACTAAGATGTCTGATTTGGCTATTTTGCATCATCCCAGTATGTCTTAAGATACAATATAGAAAAAGAAATGGAAATAGATCAATGGCTACAATGAAACAGTATTACAGCTACTGCAGTACAAAAAAAAAAAAAAATGCAAAAAAAAAAAAAAAAAAAAAACTCAAACAAGCCACCATTAAATCTTGCCAAAACAGTCCTATGACAAATGAAAACATTAACCATTCATAAACATCTATTACTGTCAAAATTAAAAATCAAGACAAATAAGTTAAAGGGCCTACGTTTGTGTGTGGGTGTGGGTCCATGATAGATGCCTATTTAAGGAAACCTGTCTTCGCATCCCTGTTTCTTGGTTAAGAGGCCCATCTTAAGAGTTGAAATCATAGGTATAACTGCACTTTTAAATTGGGGCTAGGGCTGGGCCTGTAGGTTTAGTAGCACTACCACTTGAATTTATGCCAAATGCGTGACATGGACTTTTTGCATGGTATTTGAATGATATGCAAGCCGATGTTCTTCGGAAGCTTGCCATTACCTATGAGAAATATGAATCCATAGCAAATGTGTGCATGGAAGTTATATCAGGAAATTGGGAAGGAAACCATAGTGATGACTTTTGGCTTGCACGGCTAATAGGGTGTCAAAATGGGTTTTCGGGTTGGGTTTTGGTCAAACCCGAACTTGCCCCGGGTCTAAACTGGTTGACCCAAACTCGACTCGGTTTTATAAATGAGTCAAAAATTCAAAACCGAACCCGACCCAACACACGAGCCTGGAATAGGGCAACAAGCACGCAACTACGCAATGCAGGCGCAGACGCATCGATTGCGCGATGCAGGCACGGACGCGAATAGCGAGAGGGCCGAGAAGGAGGCGGTCAGTAGTGCGAGCGAGACAGTGAGGGGTTCAGACTCCAGAGTTTGGACGCGATGCGGGTAGTGGGCGCAGGAGTGGGCTAAAGCGATTCGGGTGTAGCCGTGCAGTCACACTCATGGGTTGTGGAGAGAGCAAGGAGTAGGAGCGAGTTCGGCAGCGAGCAGCCGACGCAGTCAGGGGGGACAGTGAGCGCGGGTTCGACAGAGGACGCGAGTGCGGGATGGGATAGCGAGGGCGGACTGTGAGCGAGATCGCGACTAGAGAGCACAGGTTGAGACTCGAGACGCGAGAGCGGGATGGGGATTCAGGGTCAATTCATTTCATTGTCGGGTTTCCGGGTCAATCCAAACCCGACCTGATTAACCTCGAACCCAAACCCTATTCGTATGGCAAATGAGTTGACCTAACTCGAAATTTTTTGGTTTGGTTCTGGTTCCGGGTCCGGGTCGGGTTTCGGGTTGTGTCAAATAATGACACCCCTCACAGTTAAAACATCCCCTCCATAAACCTAGTTGGTTAAGGCTTAGATTAAGCTAAGCCAGACGATAGGAAGTATAAGCTTTAAGCAGGGTTAAGTAGTTGGTTTTAATTGGTGAAAACGTTGATATAAGCTGCCATAAACTAACAAGACTATATAATTATATTTTGGCTTAAACTCATCATGGTATTCTAATATAGCATAAACATGAGGAATTTACTATTAAGAGAACTTAGCAATGATTATGAATGAAATGTTGACCTTGAAACAGAACAAGAAAGACTGAAGGATGGTGCACAGTAAAGAAAAATGTGATCGTAGAAAGGGAGAAAAAGATTGCCTTCACCGAAATGTTAGGGCGGCGACAATGCAAATAGAGTGGAAGCAATGAGTAATGATTGGAACTCCAGTAGAGGGAAACACCTGTTTTTTAGCATAGGAGGAAACATGATGAAGAGATAAGCACATAATAGTAAAGTGCTAAAGTGTATGAAGCCCTAATTTTATTTTCTCAATGCTCATCTCCCAAGTCATCTAAAGGTAGGCTTAAAAATAGCAATCTAAACAAGCATCATGTTTGATTGTTTGTCTGTGCTTAAGAACTTAAGCTGACTTAAGCCCCAGCCAAACAACCCCCATGCAATAAAAAGAAGTTTGTCTAGTGCTATAAAAAATGTTGCCAATCTATCAGTTGGATCACCTAGAGATATCAAAATTAGTTTAATATTAAATATGGATCACATTTTAGTGTTTATCTTCCATCTCCTAGTTCGTATTCATGATACCATCTATTTCCATTCTACAAAATCTGATCCTTGACAGAGCAGCATGATCCAAAGCAACTAAAGTCTACTCATGAAGAGATTTTTTTAAATACGTTATCAAATGAGGTGATAATTCATAGGAAAAATGGTAGCTTCAATGACTTGGCCTGGAAATATTAAAGCAGTTTAGGTAATAACATTAGACGTGCAGATGCTTTTCAAGCTATTAAAGGTAATACAGAGATCTAAGTCGACAACCGAAGCAAAAGCAAAACATGTGTGTCAATTTTTGTGATTTAATGGCTCTATGATAAAGAATCTAAGCAACGTCCAAACTTTAGTTTGGACTTTAGACGAGGATAAGATATAGAAGTTATAATCATGCACAATACAACTAAAATATCAACAATATAATGGTTGATTGAATTGATTTGTATGAATGTATTTCTAGAAATCAAATGTTGTTCTTGTTTCATTGACTCAAAGACTTTATTGTTGTAATGTCATGTTATTGTATTTTTTATGTTAAAGGTTTCCCAAAGATTTTGTCAAAAGGTTTGCATTCTATTTTTGTAGAATGGTGAAGCTTGCATTCTATTTTTGTAGAATGGTGAACCTTGATTTTTTATTTTTAAGGGAAAACTCTCATCCTCCATAAATTTATGTAAATTCCTTCATCTAACCAGGCATAAGCTTAAAAGATTTAGTGGACCCACATCTTAACTAATTCACTTTTTTCTTATATTTTGTTTGGATATTCAACTCAATTTGGATATGTTCAAACTGATTTGTCAATGTAATGTCATGTTATTAAGAAATATCACCTATTTGGTTTGGTGGGATCTATAAACAATAAACTCATGGCCATTATGTTCTGATTCAGTGAAATCTAGATGCTGGTCCACATTGGCCAACATCTGGAGACATTCAAACAACTAAATATGTTGCTCTTTATGATACAAATAGCTGCAACTTTAAATACAATAACATTGAATCAAACACAGTACTATAACATTGACACCCTAATAAGTCAAATATCTGAATAAAACTAGAACCGTATTCTGACCGAACACTCACTAATGAAATGCTTGCGCAATTAAGCGATAGAAGATTATTTTGGAAATGTAAAAAGTTGAAAAAAATTTTCTAGCTCAGAAAAATACTTTTTCTGATTGAACTTCTAATATATACTTTTAAAAAAGAGGGAGAGTAGGTATCATGTATGTGGTGATACTGCATGGAACCGATTTATATTTGTAGTCACTGTACTGCAATGAACTGTATGAAGTCGTTCAGACATTTTCTCCTTTTCAATTGTCTTTTATCTTGTTTTGCTTCTATATTTTAATTTTAAACCTTTTTGGTCAGAGTGATGGTGAAAATGATGAGGATATTATCAATAGAATTCAAGTTGGATGGTTGAAGTGGAGGAATGCATCGGGCTTGTTGTGTGATAGAAAAATCCCCCTTAAACTTAAGGAAAAATTCTATAAGATGGTGATGAGACCTGCAATGTTTTATGGTGCCGAATGTTAGCCATTAAAAGAAAAGCATAATACTATTTTAGCTCCTAGAAATCTAAGGCTCACTTCTTGAAGAGCTTTATAGAAATTATTTTAGCACCAATTGGAAACGCCTATCTGAATATTTATTAGATATTTGAGTGAACAATTAGATGTATTCTTTTCAGATAAACCTTAATGGCTTGTCGTTCAGACAGCATGCGGTGAATATAAAATAAATAACTAGGCTTTTTAAAGTAGCTAGAGAATGAGGAAACTGTAGAAGCACATGCTGCATAATGCTTCCACCAATTGTACAATTTGATGAGGAGTCGATGTACACAATTTCACCCCTGCATTTCACAAGATTATAAGCTAACTTATTTTTCAATCATACAACACCAATAAATGGGAAGTCAAATTCAAGCCTAATCAGGAGCCGGATACATGACATAGATGTGGGAAAAATAAAACCCAACCTAAGTAAATCAGAAACAAAGCAAAATATAAATTTGAAATTAGGGGGAACGAGTTAAAGTTCAATCATTTCTCAAGTTGAATCTACAATTAGCTATTTGCTAAAGGATTTTTTTTAATGTTCTTCTTTAATTTGAAACCTACAATAAAAATTTGTTATTGATTGTACTTCGATAAATGTACAGATCATAAAAGATTACTTGTTTTATTAATTAGGTTTATCTTATTCATGTTTCATTAATACAAAAATTATTCAGTATGCATACTGAACATAATGAGATTTATTGGGGCAGATTATCCTTATTACATAATATATCTCATTAAATGTATGCCATCAAGAATCCTAAATTTCATAAGTCTGTCAAACTCTCTCCCAAGCATATCCCAAAAGTAAACTTATCTCCACTATTCTCCTCAAGTTGTTCAAGTGCTCTACTTTTAAGGAGATTCCTTCACATCAAGGAAATAAATTAGGCCCAAAAATCATAAAATGCCTTTTTTATTGATTACTCTCCTAATCAACAAGGATGCAAACGTTATCTCCTAGCGTTGAGAAGTATTACACCAACATGGATGCCGCATTCTTTCCCACAACTCACATTTAGGGGGAGAATATCAATTGCCCGTGAATATGAATTTTATGACAATATCAGCCATACCTTATTGATATCTCATTCTAGATTACTTGCAAACCTATTTGAATCTTAACCTTCAAAATCTAAACCTTTCAAATATATCATTATAAAGGGATTGTCTATTCTAGATGAAGGGAATATTCAGCTAACAAGGTAAAGCACAAATTTCTCCTAGCCCAAGTCTTGACATGATTCACAAGGACACGATAATATTGATTCTAAAGATGCCTATTGTTGCTCTCAAGAAAAGCCCTAATAACCCAATCAATCATTATATTTTCTATGATAAACTATTTCTAAAGTTCTAAGCCTTTGCTATAAGTCTATCAAGCATAGAAATTCTAAACAATATTCAAAGAACCTTCAGAGTACCTGAATGAAAAAATACAGTTCATTAAGAAATCCAAGCCCTAAAAAAAAGGTATGTGAAATCTTTCAGAACTTGCCAAAAGGAAGGTATGTGAATGGATCTTAAAGGTGATATACCAAGATGATGAAAGTGTCAAACAATATGAAGAAAAATTAGAAGCAAAATTTTCACTAACCTATGGAATTCATTATCAAGAAACCATAGCCCGACTGATAAGATGAACAATATGAAGGAACTTCTCTCTTGCTGCTAACTTAAGACTAGCAACTCCATCAACTAGATGTAAAAAATACATTCTAAATGGAGATTTAGAATATGTAATTTATATGATAATTTCTCTTGGATTTGAGGATATGAGTAATATAAATTAAGACAGCAGACTCGAGAAAGCTCAATACGGCTTAAAAAAATTACCAGGGGAGCTCTCAATGACAATCTAACTACATTTTATTTACTAAGCAATCTTATGAAGATAAAATTTATATCATTATTGTATATGCTGATGATAACATCTTGATAAGAAATCATGAAGAAGAGAAACAAGCTAAAAGGTGCCTTAGATAAACAATTTGAAATCAAGGATCCTGGCTTATTAAAATATTTACTAGACATGGAAATAAAAAGAACAAGAAAAGGTACCTCTATCTCATAATAGAAAAATCCTTGGACCTTATAAAGGAAACTGATATGTTTTGATGTAAACCTATAAACATATCCATAAATTCATCAAACAAACTTGTGCCTCAGCAAGATTCAATCCGGGTAGACAATAGAAGGTACTAAAAATTAGTTGAAAATTTTATCTATTTTTCACAAACCAAACTTGATATGTGCTTTCATGCTAGTGTTAATGTGTTATTAGTCAATTTATGAATAACCCACAAAGAAGCAGCTTCATCAAGTACACTGAAAACTAAGGCATTTTAAAAAGGAATATGGAAAAACGTTATTCTTCAAGAAGACAACGAAAAAAGGTATAGAAATCTTCACTGATGATGAATAGCAAATATTTATAAAAGCTTGACAGACCTGAATTCAATTAGAAATTGCACTAGAATCCACAACATAACCTAAATGTAAACTTATTCCTATGATTACAAATTATTTTGAAATTAAATCTAATTTGAATCATAACCTACCTTAGAACCAAAATCAAAACCAATTCTTGCATCTATGTATAGGCCTACTTTAAATATTACAATTATTGACCATGAATTAAATCATGAATTTAAAATTGAACATGAATCAAGCATGATCCCTCCCATTGAACATGAAATTCTAATTGAAATTAAATCAAAACCTTTAAATGAGTCTGAAACAAAACTCAAATCAAAATTTCAACCAATGCCTGAATTAAAATTGAGGGTTGAATCTAAATAATTCACATATACTGAAGCGACCATATTTAATAAATCTATAGAATTTAACTATTACTGTTTTAATCAAGCAACCCAAAATTAATTCTGTTTTTTGTTTCATGATTTAAAACCATACCAAAAAACTAGCTAGTTATATTGATGTACGCCAACAAATATGCTGATATTCCTGATAAATTCTTTGAAGAAAGGATGATTTTAAATTAAATAGGCTGTTCTACTAGATAGCATACATGCCTTATTTGCTCAAACTTAATGACGTGGTTCGTTTGTTATTATAAGAAAACTTTGCAAAATCTTATAAGTATGGATTTTAAATTTTCATCTTTACCTTTTGGAATTATAAGTAATATATACCATGGAGAAACCGTATAAATTTCTTCGTTACCTCTGCATGCAACATGTTCTATTGACTTACTCATTGTTCTTGTGCATGTGTTGCTTATTATAAGAAATAAATGTTATACATAATGATAATTTAAAGCTATAGCATATGTTCCTATTCATGCCTTGCACTATAGTGAAGGTAACAATATTTAATTTATCATATTCTACATACGTTCAGCATTTTAGATGCAAGAAGTTGCCAATCATAGCCCCCACGTCTTACCAGATCATTAGAATACTAGGGCCTAAAGTCTATGTCAATTAACACAATCATTAATCATGCTTGCTATGTTGAGAATATGTGTAATTGAGGCACTTTCAAGAGTCCAATACTTTGTTATGGATAATTTTCCAAACAGATCTTCTATTTTGCCAGGAGCATCTCAAACACCAAATCTTTAGTACTACTTCCACATGATCTCATTGATGTTCCTTCATGCTAAACCTCTCTAGTCTACTAAAAGTGCCATCATCCTTTGTTTTATAATCCATTATTGATAAACCATAATATTTACTTTGAATGTGTTATCAATTTTACTCTCTAGAGTAGAGTTTTTGCAATCCAGTTGAATTAATATTAAAAACAATTTAGTTTTTTTCTTTTTTTATTTGTTATGGATATTTGGGTTATTTTTTATTTTTTTCTGTAGGGTTATTTTAGTCTATGTCCTCAAATTTGTTAACATGTTAGCAATTACAATCTCTAAAAAAATTACTCTAAACTGCGATAATTTATCATATAAAACAAATCAAACTTTTATATATGACCCTTTTCCTCGATTTACTTCAAATTTTGATCATTGATCAAAGCCAAGACTTGAATCTTCAGGGAAAATTAATTTCCCTGATCAAGAGTGAGGCATGCTTATTTTGTTACCTTTCATTTTTTCCTTATTCAGTTTGATTCATCAATCCATCTATCCATTACTATTTTCTAGTTCTTTAGTGATCATCATGCAGCAAGGTGGCTGTGAAGTACTTTTTCATACAGTAAAAACCATACTTTCATTTATAAAACGATTTTAAAGTATCAAAGAAGATATACATCTTTTTCACAAAACATATACTATAAAAGATCATTTTGCATAGCATAAATTATATTTTTACATCAGAAAATTGTCTTGCCTATGTGCATATACATGCCGTACATGATAACCGAATTTTTCATATCCTGACAAAACTTCATATTTTCTAAGTTGTTTAGAGTATCATCCATAGCAGATCACATCACATAATTAAAGGTCCTCGTCCTACAAATACCCCATTCGTAGCTATGACGAACCTCTAAATGTCCTTTCCTTCACTCAGCCAAATAAAAATTAAAAAAAAAAGCTCAAGCGTTGTACATTATGAGTTCTTAACCTACTAATCATTAGTCAACTTTGCACAAAAAGTAAGCTCATTAAGAAGAAAATATGGAATGAGGAGAATAATTTTTTCACCTTTGAGCTGGGGATACCTCATATTAACTTCAGTATCAGATCAACCTTTTCCTGTGCCAACCATAAACTTTCCTTCACTAAAAATCTGTGATACAGTTCCTCCATAAAGAGCAACTGCAGACTTGTCTTAGAAAGATTACTAGCCGAGTTTATAAAGCACAGGAGCAGATTCATCCACCAAATCCAATTCCCTTATGAGTTAAATGTTGCAGAGTTTGTTCCATATGATCACCAAATGCTACAATGATCGAGAAGCATGCTGGGATTTTGCCATCTCTCTCAGGACAGCACCCACAATTGCAGCCTGTTCAAGGCACTCAGCCTTGTGCAATGCATCAAGAAGAACAATACAAGTCTTGGCATTTATCTTGCAGCCCCTTAGCCTAGTTTCATCAAAAACCCTATAAGCTTCCATTGCCCTATTAGCATTGCTCATGCCTTCAATAAGAGTGTTATAACAAACAGAGTCTGGCACACCTCCATTTGCCTTAAACTTCTCAAAAAGCTTTCCAGCTTCTGTTATGTTCCCCACCTTTGCGAGCCCTGACATCATGGTTGTATAGGTGACTACACTAGGAATAAGCCCCTTCTTCTGCATTTCTTGCCAAAAAACGAATGCTTTGTTGTATTTCTGCACTCTGCAAAGACCATTTATAAGGATACTATAGGTGAAGGTGTTCGGCGCACATTTCATATCCTTCATCGACTGAAAGCAGACGAGCGCTTCATTAACCTCCTCCGCTTTCATAAGAGCATCAAGCAAACAATTCCATGTGTACACATTCGGAGTTAACCCTGTTTGCATCATCTCTTCCATGATTAGATATGCTTCATCAATCCTTCCTACCTTTCCGAAGCCATCAATAAGACTGCTATACATAATAACATTTACCTTCAGTCCCTTTGATTTTGCTTCTTCAAATAGCATATAAGCCTCATCGAGCCTATCAATCTTCGCAAGCCCATCAATAACAGATCCATAGGTAACTTCAGTTGGAGAACTACCCTTCTCTTTCATCTCCTCGAGAAGTTGATAAGCTTTATCAACCTTACCAGACTTACAGAACCCATCAATGACAGTGTTATAAGCTAGAGTGTCCAGCTTAAGGCCACGTTCCTTCATGTCATAAAACAACTTGTATGTCTCCCGTGCATGACCAGCTTTTGTAAGACCACTTATCAATATAGAATAGCTTGTCACATCAGGGAACAATCCACAAGCTTGTATCTCTTCAAATAACTGTCTTCCTTTTAAGGATTCGCCTGCTTTAAAAACACAATCCATGTAAGTGTTCAAAAGGGTGAGATCAGGCCGACAGCCTCTGCGCCTCATCTCCTTGTATATCTTATGGCCGTCTTCCTTCCTCCCATGCTTGAAGAAGTTCTTAATAAGGGAAGTATAGACAACAACATTTGGGATATGCCCTGCATCTAGCATCTTCTCAAAAAAGCCATATGCCTCTTCAACCCTGCCATTCCTTCCCAAGCCATCAATCAGAGAACAATATGTAACACTGTCCGGACCGCAACCCTTTTGTCTTGCACTTTCAAATATGTGGAAGGCCTCATCAAGTCTCTGAACTTTACATAACCTATCAACCAATAAATTCACAGTAAGAATATTAGGAAACAATCCAGTATCTTCCATGATTTCCCGAACTTTAAAAGCATCCTCAACTTTTCCTGCCATGCAAAGTATGTCAATCATGAGATTATACGTAGGGACATTGGGCTCTGCATCTTTCTTCATTTCATCAAATACCCTCAGAGCCTCATCAGCCATCCTCTTTTTCTTAAGGCATGTTAGGATGGAATTATAAGAAACAACACTAGGAATACATCCCTTCTCTCTCAGCCGCTCCAGTAATTGATAAGCCTCATCAAACCTTCCCACTGAGCCATAGCCCAATATCATTGTGTTATAAGCATATGCACATGGAACTTTTCTCCCAAGCTCCATTTGCTCAAACAATTCAATTGCTTCATTTAGCCTATTTGCCTTGCAAAGAACACCAAGCATGCTAGTATAAGTGACATCGTCTGGCTCAATTCCTTGGGCCTTCATCTCATGGAGGAACTTCCATGCCATCTCTATCTTCCCTTCCTTGCCAAAGCAGTCAATACAGACATTATACAGAACAATATCTGCATCAAATGAGTGGCTCTTCATTTCATCCAGTAATGACAGAGCTGTATCGAGCCGGCCATCCCTCGCACAGACCCGAACCAAAGTAGTAAACAATGGAACATTCACTTCATGGCCCATCTCCTGCATTTGATGAAATAAACCAAGAGCCAAATCAGCTTCACGAGCATCAGCAAGGGAAATGATCAAAGATACGTATGCTGAAAAAGCTGGACGGAATTTATACTTCCGCATTTTCTCAATCACATCCACACCTTCCCTGAGCTTTCCAGCCTTCATTAAATTAGCCACAAGCTCCAAGCAAGCGTTTGGTGATGGCCCAAATCCAAGGAGGCTCATCTCCTCCAAAATCTTCTCCAAAAATTCATAATTTCTATGGCTGGCCATAGATAAAAGAAGCGAATTATAAACCTCCACGCTATGTGGTTCTCCATTAACTTTCTCTGACCATCTAAAATAATTCATTGCCGAAGAAAAATTATGTAGCCTTTTTAAAACCCCAATGACAAATTCTGGGCTAGGTTTAGGATCGATTGCTAAAAGAGCGCCCTCGGATTCAGATCCCAGCGGGCTGCGATCGAGGATTCTGCAAAGTTCTTCCACATTTTGCCTCAAACCCGCCCTAGAACTCCCCATGCCACAAGCCGGCTTAAAGTCTTTCTCAGTAGAGAAACTTCCGTCACGGTTCTCAGGATGAAAGTTTGCGTCTCTATCCAATGGAAAAGAAGAAGAAGGTTCACTTTTTCGATCAGATGAACCATGCTTTGTTGAAAAATGGCGCATTATCGGGAACCGCCGTGGCAGAGCTATTGAAGTGGACGCCATCGGAAGTACTTCAGCGCCGCAGTCTTGAGCTTGGGAGGCGGCAGTATAACGTAGAGCCGGACTATGGGACATGAATTGCCGGACCCTGGACAACGCCGGCGCCATAGATGCCGGCGGAGGAACTCTGAAGCTCTTGACAGTGTTCGAGCTAAGAATTCCGCCCAGTAATGTTCAACAGCCGGTAACACGTAGGAGAAAACACCGAGATTAAACCCTAGCCAAAAGCATATAAAAATTTTCACTTTACAAATTCATCATATTGCCCTACTAATAGACTATCATTTCCCATTCTGAATTAAGAAATTTACATGAATAACATTGAAATTTTGAATTTTACATAATCAATAATTAAATTTTGTATATAAAAACTTAGGCCTTGCAGTGTATTTTAAAGCTAAATTAAAAGGGCAAAAATGTAATAAATTTTCTATCAATCAATGTGCAAAAGATACTTGATAAAAGTGACTTTTATTATCATGAAATTATTGATGTTGCATGCTATAAAATTTGTTGAGATTGAGAGAGAGTTTTGCGTCTTAAATATGCACAAAGAACCACACACACGGTATTAATCAAAAAATGGAAAGTCGAGAAAAAAAAACCGCACAAACGGAGTTAAATCCAAAGAACGTAATGCCATAACAAATCTGTTGTGTTATATTGGATATGAGCATATGAATGATATAATATATTGATCCTTTATATGGCTACTAACTAGTTAAAAATAATTATATTACTTTTATTTATTTTTTATTATGCATATGAAATGACTTTGCTCATATTGCTTGTCACATGTTCTTATAATTATATGTTTATACAAACATTGATTTAATGATTACATAGTGTTTTTATTATCCCGCATTAATTGTAGTTATAGGTCCTAGTAACTTACTAACCTGATAACTCACTCATTGGTCTATATATTTTTAGGAATGGGTCATGATCTAGTTGAGAGAGGTTAATCAAAATCATCATATTCAATCTTATTTTTGTACTTTTACTTTATTTTTTTATAGTCATAAGTGTGGGAGATAGACTAATATATTTATTGAACTAATGACTATTGTAATTAAATTTTGATTAAATGATGAAAATATTAAAATATTTTGATTAATATGGTTTCTTGTGCTAAATTTTAGTAAATAAATAGAAATTATTATTTAGATCTTGGGGCATCACAAAGTTATAGCGGTTGGATGATGGTAGTGGGGCTAAAATAGCTGAATGATGATGCTGGACAATAGTGTTTGGACGATGATAAATGATAATGGAATGGACTATGGTAGTAGAGCAGTGGTGGGTGACGTTCGGATGATGACAACCCCATACTAACCCATGTTCGCTCTCTCTCTTTTTTTCTATTATGTAGAAGAATTTGATAAAAAGTATCTTTTACTTTTACTGTATAAAAATATCTTACAACTGTGATGGTCCAACGACGATGACAGTTCAGTGATGATAGCCGAATAATGATTTTCGGAAAACGCTGTGACTAGCTTTTATTATTAGCATCAAACGTCAAGTAGATCTTTAGAGTTTCATAGATCTTTGAGCTCTTTACCATCTCAAGTTTGGGTCTCTTTCATGTGGAGTATGAGGGTTTATTTATAGTATTTTGGAAATATCATTTTGATAAATTTAGACAAAATTCTATACCACAATATCAGATAACCTATATTGGATATTTTAATCATAGATAATTTGTTTAGTATCAGAGTGCCTTAAAGTCCTCAAAAATCAAAATTGAATGGCATTAGGTTCGTTGGATTTAACTCATCGAATAACTCAAATTGCCACATCCATACATGATTTAGAGATCGTTTAGTTCTTTAATTAATGTTCCAAAGTTTTTAATCATGCTTCAAGTGCTTGATTTGGGCTCAGATTGAACTATCTTTAGTGTCGCTGTGATTGTTTTTTTGAGATATTCAATTCGACAATAAAATTATTAAAATTAGTTTGTATGACTCTAAAGTTAATTTAAAAAACTTTTAATATAAAATAATGCATTTAGATTTATGTCGATCAAATAATTTTTTTGAAACATATGTTTGATTGGCACATTTATAACTAGACCAATAGTAAACTAATTATAAGAACAAGTATTTATACAAACGGACAAAGCAGCAATCATTTGCACTAAATTTATGTTATTAAATCATCATCTTCCAACTATTTTAATAATTGGCCATTAGAAAAAAAAATCAAATGGGTTTTCAATCAATTTAGTCAATATGGGATGTTTGTTTACAAGTATTTAATATATTGGTATATTTAAAATAAATTGAATATATTCTATTTTGATTTTGTTTATGTTATTTGATATGTCATAAATTATACTTATAAACTTGTTTTTTATGTTTGATTAGGAGTAACAATGTAATGCCCGCTATCCACCAGACAAGGTAATTACTGTTAATGTATAACTAATTTTGATTTCATTGGTAATTATTAGTCGAAGAGTGTCAAATGAATCCTTATATGCCAAGAAGTGATATGAAAAATGGGTCTTAATTTTATCAAAATACCTCTGGGAGCACTACGATGTTAGGATTGGTAGCACCATGGCATCTTACTCGTTGTTTTTTAGGAGAAAGTGAGGGAGCGATGTGACGTCAGGAATCATAGCCGCAGCGCCAAGCTCTTTGTTTGTGAGATTCTAAGAGAATCTAAAAGATTGAGATCAGTATAGTGTCGTTGGGGAGGCAAGCGACGCGGTGTCGACCAATATTAGTATTTTTATAATAATAAAATATCTAAAACCATTTGCATAAACTTCACCCCAGCCTTTGTTGGAGCAATAGAGGAGACAGGAGAAGAGGAGATGAGAGAGAAAGAAAGAGGATTTGGATGCCAAAGCTCTGGATTCGTCCATCGAGCTTGTTCAAAATACTGTTAAGCATGAAGTAAACTTGTGAACTCCTATATTTTAATTCAATTACTGTGTTTTTTTATTTTTTTTAAAAAGGTCATTGATAAATGTATGTTTTTCTTAAATTTTACAATGTTTTCAAATCATAAATTTTAATATGTTGTTGTATGCTTTATTTTAAACAATTTAACTATAAAAATTTATATTTTATGAGTTGATTTTTCCTACATAAATTTTTGAGTATATAAGTTGATTGAAACTTTTATGACATTTATAATAATTATATAAAAGTCTTAAAATATTAACATGAATATCCCTCTGGAATTATAAATTGAACAAGAAAAAAATACATTGAAGTATAATGTTATACATGCTATACGACTTCTTATTGGTAATTCTACCAATTTATATGTTATTCCAGTATTTCATTAAAATCATAAATAATTATTGTTGCATCTACATTTATACTATTCTTAGTATGACATAAGTGATATTCTGCTATGTGAAAAGTGCATTCTATGATATGTTACAGAGGGTCCTATATGTTCTTTTTTGGCTACATCTATCATGCATAAATGTGAAAGGATTCTAGTCCCAATTATTTGAAGCGTTTGTTGAAGGTTATGTTGTACTATTATATTCTGACTTTGGCCACACTTGTTATATGCGAATGTGAGAGATTAAACAGTTGCATGAGTGAAAGTAGAGTTATAAGTAGATATTGAGACATGTGCCTTATAACAATTCATTGCATATTCTATAATTTTAATGAATCAAGTACAAAGAGTATTATGAATTGAATGTTAACAATTTTTTAATTTCATTATAAAATCAAATGAAATGTGAAAGTTAAGTGCAAGTGAATCTATGATGATAAGTATTCTATGAAGTATCTGAAATCTCTATGAAAGCAACTTTAAAAGGTATAAGTAAGAACTCTAAAATCAAGTGCATAACGAGAGCCTAGAAAATCACATTCTAATAGTATTTTATTAATTCTTTGCAAGTTATTGAGTTTTAATTAAATTGCTTTTTAATATTTTATTTTAAATGGATATTGATAATTGTGATGGGCTAGAGAAATAAGTGTGATGGGTAGGTTGTGCTCATTCTATGGTACTTTGTGACATTTCAGGAAAAGAAAAAGGGCTAAAGGTGTAGGATGATATAATCGAGATTTTTGGATATGAGTAGCTAAAATATTATTTTGTAATATAGTTTTAATTATTTTGATGCGTAGTTTTTCTTTGGGTTGAATTATTTTGTATATGCATTTTCATGAAATGAAATGTGCTTATAATGTTGTTTTTATTTAGATGTTATAGTAACTCTGGTTGTCACTGTTTGTGGTTTAGTTATAATTACAGGATTAGGCTTTCAATCATTCCATTAAATCCTAGGATATCATAAAAATTAAACTCACAAATTTATTTAGAGCACGATGAGGGATGTTGTAATAGATGGTTTGGACAACGAATGTGAATGATGTGGTAGAAGGGTGGATGTTGGATAGTAATGACGACGACAATAAGTTTAGAGTCAACCTTGGATGTGCTTGTAAAGAGCATTGTTGCAATAATGAATTACCTGTAATGACCTGAACTAATATGGTAAAGATGTCATATGCATGTTTAAAGTTCCACATTTTTTTAATTTCTATAAATGTTTATGCATTATTTTTATTTGAAATTAGTCTTAAGGGCTTAATGTGTTTGAAATAGAGTAGAAAAATCTAAGTACGCGAAAAAGTCCATTGGGAGCACTGCAATGTTGTGGGGTTGATCTCTCTATATTCTTATAGTATAAAGAGGTATCTAAGAAGCATTGGAGCTATTTTCATCCATGAGTCTATTAGGAATATTCTCCGGATCGAGATATGTTACTTTTACCCAACATTTATTTTTTATAATATGGCTTTTTATGAAATTTTTGACTTAAACAAAAATGGAGAAAACTAAGATAATTTGATATCAAAGAAATTTTTGCCATGTAACTTTTTATACGTTATTGTCTCGTTATTCTACGCATTTTATTATATGGAGTTTGTACACTTTTTATGTACGTGTTTTAATTGATGTTATCTTAGAAGGATAAAAGTACCAAAAATATAACTGTGAACACTATGTGTGAATAGCTCTATGTTTGATAATTATTGAAGTGTGCATATAAATTTACCCTAAAATTCTGATTGCTCTACAATAAATGTAAATTTTTATATATTTATGTGATGTGTTTGATTGAAATCATGTAAAAGAGGGAAATGCTAGCGGCTTTTTATTGATGCTCATGTGCATC